GGTTCTCATTACCCTGTGCTTAAATTCACCTGTCTCACAGTGTTCTTTGTCAGTTCGTATTGTCTTACGCTATGTTCAGGTTGATGTTTCTTGTGCACGTGAAAAGTTTCATTCCTCACTACGTGAGCGCTTTCATTTTTTGTTCGCTATTTTTGTCATCTCGACTAGAGGTTGATAGTTACCCTTTTTGTTGTTCACTGCTGTATTGGAAAATAAAGTATCTTACAAATACTTTACCTCTGTCTCCCGGGTCGTGCAATTGGGTCCTACATCCTAAGTGTCTGAGTTCGTAACAGAGGGGGCTCGTTGACAGCCTCAAGGAGCTTGACAAGCTCAAGGCAATTCATCAGAACCTTAAGTGGCTTTACAAGCACGATAAGATCAGCCCAAAAGCCTTACATGAGCTGCGTTTGGTAGCGGAGGCCTTGGAGGAGAAAGTGCTGAAGCCAACCAACCTTGCTGGGGTGAGATTTCTCCCATACATACACAAAGCCAACAAGGTAGGTCTAAACAAATATTTAATAGATAATTAAATCTCATCAGCATAGAAAATATAAAATTGCTATCTTTATTGCAGATTGTGTGCGAAAGCTACGCGGTATTCGTGACCTACTTCCAGGATATCCTAAGCACTGAGAGAAGACCGAAGCCAAGCCCAAAGGTGCAAGGAAGGGCGTACAGGATCCTCACCTTCCTCATGGACTATGACAATGTACTTTTCAGTTATTTCATGCGGGACACTTTTGAAGCCCTCTCTGAGTTGTCACTGAACTTCCAGAAGGACAGCCTGACTGTATGTGATGCTGTGGAAGCCCTGGAGACATGCTCACTGAAGTTAGTGGACCTGCAGTTCCAACCAACTGAGGGGATGCAGGAGGTCATTGATGCAGTCTCAGAAACCGGCCTCTTCCGAGGGACTAAACTCAAGTATGTCAACGAAGGGCAGATTCTCTTTCTCCAGAAGAAAGTGATAGGTATGTGCCCAATAATTTTTTCTTCATAAGTAAATATGGGCATAACATGTTTTAATAGATAATTCTTTTATGGTGGTCCAGAGACAGGAATATCATTTCACATTTGTTATGATATAAAGGATTTTTTATGGTGGTCCAGAGACAGGGATTATAATTTGACATTTTTTATGTGTTTGCAGATGTGCTCATCAAGCACCTGGAGAAAAGATTCCAAGATCTCCAGAAAGGGAGTGTCCCTTCAAAATGTGTCATCTTCAACCCCAGTCAGTGGCCCTCTGACAGACAGGAGCTGGCTGCCTATGGCAAACAAGAATTTGCTGATATCTGTGAGCATTATCAGCCCCTGATGGACGAGCACAGTGTTACAACTAAAATGCTGAAGTCTGAGTTAATCCTCTACAAGAGTTATGCAACAGCCCGCACACTTCGAATGCCACAGATCTTCTCTGGCATCCTGTGTGACACTGAGAGATGCAAACAGTGTAAGGGGCTGTCAATACTGTTTGAAGTATACCTTGTTCTGGCAATCAACACTGCAGTGTGTGAGCTGGGGTTCAGCTGCATGAAGAGGGTGAAGAACGACTGGCGTTCCTGTCTGGGTACTGAGCTGCTCATCCGCCTGATGTTTTCCTCCATTGAGGGCCCCTCAATGGACAACTTTGATGCTGCCGGAGCCGTGGAGAAGTGGTGGACCTGAGGAAATAGGACTCGTCGCCCTGGCTTCAACCCGTGGCAGAAGGAGCAGGAGCAGGAGATAGTGGACGACCTCTATGAAGACCTGGTTCTTATGGATCAGGAAGCCGAGCAGGAGGAGAATGTGCGCCAGGAGGCCATATCTGACAAGCTCGGACTTGAGGCAGAGAATGTGGCTGCTGGCGAGAAGCGCTTGGCTGAAGCTCTTGACGACTCAGATGAGTCCGACATAGACGAGTCAGACATTGACACTTTCAGTGAAAGACTATTAGTCGTTGAACCAGCAAACACAAAGAAGAAGTGAAATGAAGAATAAAATTGAAATTGTACAATATAATATTGTGGTGGTTCATCTTATAATTCAGTCTAGAGAATTCACCAGACAGCATCTAA